TCTAACATGCAGCAACTCGTTTCTTATTTGCAGAAACTCGTCTAACATGCAGCAACTCGTTTCTTATTTGCAGAAACTCGTCTAACATGCAGCAATTCGTTTCTTATTTGCAGAAACTCGTCTAACATGCAGCAATTCGTATCTTGTTCGCAACGACTCGTTTAGCTTGCTGCATGTCCCTTATGGGCCACCGTACGTTGCTCAACGAACTGAGCCAACCGCGTATGCGATTATTGATCCATTATTTTGCCGATTACAAAGTTAAGTCTTTAGTATCGCTGCTCAGGTTTCTATTGCAAGATACTGGAATTTTTTCGTTGYTTGAAAAACATGCAGTAGTATGGTAAATAATCTAGGATAAAGGACTACTCACGGGTGACCAGTGGACGAACATATTTATCGTAATCCTTTAGCAACATCGTGATGACTTTTGTTTCCTCAGCCAGCTCTATCCCGTTCCTATAGAACCGTAATAGTCACAGTGTTATTTGCTAATTAATTACCACTCTCTTTCGGGAAACTCGCTGGAAATCCTCAATGGCCGCGGCCTATTGTTTATTCCAGCCATCATAAAATGTTTTTAATCCATAAAACAAAGTGTAAATTCTTACCCTAACAGTGGAAGGGCATCCAATAACCACAGGAATACCACAAACGGAAATAGTCGCCGTATCGTAGAGTTCATGAAGAATGGAAAACCTTTGACTCTATCAGAAAATTGGGATGATCATTAATACTAGCTTGCCCTGGGTCCATATATAGCTGTGAATATATATATATATATTGTGAATCCGGGCAGGTCATTTGTTTGATTACCCCAGTGTTTGATAAACTCTGATAAATTTTTAAATCATCCCACGCCACCCTTACACTGACTAGAGCTGACACCATTGATAAACCACCCATAGAGCAAGCCAGCGATCGGTGGTAAGATACAAACTGAAATGAAATACTATTTAAGCCCCACCCTGTGTGCTTGTTCTGTTCCAACTCAGCGTGAATCAATGTTTCTGTGTGTACATATTTTATGATCTATTCAGTACATCGTCTCATGTATCTATATTCAATCCTTGGAGTATCGGCAGCATCTCATATGTGGTTTCCTGATCACCATTATATACAGATTGCGCTCTGATTGGCTAAAAACATTGGTTTAAAATGAACTGAAGGATGGACTGAATAAGCTTTGGCACCCTTAGCAAGTCTTTTCAGTGAATGCAATATGATCAATTGTTTTAGTTTCATCTCAGTTAGCACAGGCGAAAGAATAGGATACTCTTTCTATTTTCAACAAATCCTATTAATAGACCTTTCCCGAATTCGCTTGACTAATGATGAAAAAATGGTTTCAAGTCGAGGGTTGGACTTGATGAATAAAAGAATCGAGTTCAGTTTCAAATTCAAACCATTGTGTTGTGACAATCCAAGCGAATTCGGGAAAGTTCTATTGGTTATTTTAAGAAAAGACAATTATTTCATGGTAATAATGACTGAGTGTAGCAAGATGGTATCTTAAGGTACTAATGTAAAAGAAACTATTAATTATAGATGAAATATCTTCTTTCTTCCTTGCTTTTTCAGTCCACTATGTTCATACTCCAACAATTAATGTCGTATTGTATTCTGATTTTGATTACAAATACGCCCTTAGGCCCCGTCCACACTATGCCGGATAAATTTGAATCCGAATTTTTATTTATTCGGTTCCATTTCGAAAATTCGTTTTCGGTGAAGAATTGTTCCGGATTCGCCCGGACTATAGTGTGGACGGTAGGCCTAACCGATAGAATAAAAATTCGGATTCAAATTTATCCGGCATAGTGTGGACAGGGCCTTAAGGGTCCCTAGATATAAAATGCTTTTTTTTTTTCGTTTGCACTTATGGTGATGGTATAACTTGACTGAGAGTATAACTCCTTGTATGCCACCGAGCCGTACCACAAAGACCACCTGCTATCTGCACTTTTGCCTAATACTCAACTCTCTGTTTTGTTAGAAATTATGCAGGTTACTTTAGTCAACCAACTCACTAGACATGAGAAATTATAGGGCAAAGGATAGAACTCGTTCTTATTTTATTGGATTGTCAGTAGTTGGGTCATCCTAGTTGTACCAGAATAAGAGAAATATACTCGGTTCCATCCACACACAAATATCGACAACATGATTTAAGACTGACCAATGCCTTACCTTGACTGCAAATTTATCAAATCCACGAAAATCTTTCTGTTCAGCTAAGACTGACCAAGTGTTAGGTGCGGGGCTCAGTTGGATAGCTAGGGAACAAGGAATCGACTATCTTTGGTCTTTTGTTGTAGTACCTATGTCTGACTTTGAGTATGTACTTTGATAAGCTATCTCATTGTTGTAAATAGCTTATCTATCTATCTATCAGTCCTTACCATACTCATTGAACATAAAGCAACCTTAGGACCAATTATTTAGCCTTTCGTCAGATGACGGAGAGTATAACACTTGTCACCATATGGGTTAGACAATCATTAAAGATTGTGATTTTCTTAGGATTCGTTGTCCTAACAAGCAAATCCTCTTGAAATGAAGTAAACAAACAGAAGCGTGCCAAAATTAGCCTAGCTTAATAGCAGGTAAAGTGAATGTCAATTAATTAAGATGAATTTTCTTGAGGGCTTCTCTATTCTCTCCTCCATCTACGATATGCAGTCCAGCTCTATTCAAGATCACTAAGTTAAAAATGTACCAGCTAAATTAAAGTTATATTATTGGAATTTAATATATAGGAATTGAATGAACTAGGCAGTGTATTGAAGCTAAAACTTCAACACGTAACACGATTATCTTAACYGCATGGTTTAAATTATTGATGGCAGTTCATCCTGGGTTTATAACTTTAAGCGATTCATTTGCGACTCCAACACCACCCGTTACTTTTTCAATATCTTTTATTCATTAGCCAGGCCGTTTTCTCGCCACTTAACTTGTTATTTTTGAAAAGTAGATCCTAGTCTCGATTTTCAGTAAAACTAAAAAATATATATCCACAAATCCTATCAAATTTTCATTTCTACCGCAACAGAATCAAAACCACAAGTTGCACGCCAATATTTCATTGAACTTGAATATTATTTTTCATCATAGCGTACCTGTTAACATGCTCCAGGCGAGAGCCGTTCTTCTTTACGACTGATCAAATTTAGCAGCTTTGTAGCGGCGGCTGTCAGTCAGAAATTAAAGAAAACTAGAGTATAGGAGACAGATTAAATAGCGGCACATTTTTCGGTTATTTCTAATCAGTGTTTTGAGAAAGATGGTTAACTTATCGAAGTCTAAATAAGCCATTTCTATTAAGCATCATTAAATGTAACGGTCGGTACATCATCAAAAAGAATTCTCTGAGGTGCAGGATTCAATCTCTAGTCTAGTGTAGTCTCTAGCGTAGAGACTACGTCATCTACGTCATCGTTTTATATATTGCAATTATTAATTAGTTTTATCTTTTAAATATTTACATTTTATTCATAATCAATAGGTAAGCATTTTGTAACTATTGTAAATATTCTATTGTAATTTTTTGTGAAGCGCCTTGGACAATTTTGGAGATGAGCGCTATATAAATAAATTATATTAATTATATTAATTAATTATTATTAATTAATCTATAGGATACCGACTCCTTAGTACAGTCTGACCTTGCCTTGACTGACAGACCAGTTGTTCAAACCGGTTATACTTGAAAGTCGCAGAGAACCTATTGAGTCTGTTAGGTCCATGAATTATTGCTGTAATGATCATATGATAATGGTAAGCCGGGCTAGACATCATAACCATCCATGCCTTGAATATTATACCTCAGAGACCTGCCGGTCAGCATATTACAACATGCATCAATGTTGGGTTTATTTTTCATGTTACATATTTACACAGATTACAGGTTACAGCCTCTTATACAATCATTACGTATTGACACACTTATAGTTAGACACGTTTAGTCTTCTTGAGAGGGTTGCTTTGTTCCAAGAAAGTTGAAGCGGTTCTTCTTTTCCTCTGAAATAAATAAAACAAGTAAGATTTCGTTTGGAAGTGATCTTGGGGATATGTTAGTGTAACCTATCTCATTATGTCAATTAACAGTTGACTTGGGGTGTTGTTCTCATTGGCCAAAATATACTTACCGCGTTGGGTGTGCCAGGGGAAGATGTAACAGCATCTATTAATGGCGTAGCTGACTGGGGACTAGTCTGCTGATCAACCAATCAAAAACATGTTTAGTAAAACATTTACATAACTGTCTTAATGATATGAATTACGTACCTTAGAGATGAGAGGATGAGGAGTTTCTGACCAAACAAAGAAAGGAGAATCAATATAGGCACATAATAAGCAAAGTGGAATACGAATTAGTGCGGTTTTTGTATGACTGTGAAAAGTTCACGGCACGAGCACGGTATTGACACAGCAAGGGATACGCCAGACAAATCACATTGCACGAGAATTTACTCTCCATCCAATCAAATACCCGGAACACGACATAAACACGGCGCAGACACGGTTACTCCAAGCCGGATCACGGCACTTTTAGACCAATCATATGATTGCGCGTGAAAAAAATCAGCCAATTAAAATTCTAGAAAGTATCACGATCACGGCACGTCACGCTTACGGCACTGAGCTTTTCCTAGTCATACGAAAACTGCTCTAGAATGGGTCATACCTATTGACTTGACAGGAGCAAGAGCTTCTTTACGATGTCTGTAGCATTAGTAACACACATAACAGATAAGTAACAATACAAGTAGAGTTTATAGTATCCAAAGGACTTACTTCAATGTTTGTTTTTCAAATTCACAGTTTCCGGCTGCCTGCTTCAACTCATACAATAAAAKCATCTCATTTCTCAGTTCGTTAAACTGTTGGGAGATGTGTTCTGTTGGCATTGGTTGAAGATCTAATGGATAAAGACACACCATTAACTGTGAGTAATCTTCCTTGTAAGTCTTACCTCATCCATCTGATTCAAGGCATTACTTACCAACACCAAGTTCTTCCAGCAATTGTTCCACAGCTTTGGCTTTCTTTGTTCCTACTGAAGTAGGCATTTTCATCTGGAAAAAAAGGTCATTTATTTTTTGTGAAATTCAAGCATTCCACTTAAATACTGACAAAGTATGACCAGTTTGTTCTATTGATGCATTTATTGCACTTACTCTGGCACTTCTTAGAAAAACTCCTGCACCTTTGTTCTCAGGAAATTTGACTCCAGTGTTTGTAACTTCAGGCTGTAACAGATAATAACGACATCCATAAAACATGCCTCCCAAACCAATAATAAGACAATATCCTTTGACTACAGTATTCACCTGCTTCCCTTCTGTTACATCTCCTTTCTTCTTTGGTAGCTTTTTCTTCAATGGTTTCTTTTCACGCCTAAAATACAGAGTTGAAAATATAACTTACAACAAGGAATGAAGAAATTCCTTTCATAGTAAGCTACATACTTTTGCCTGCTTTCAGCAGAATTGTCTGCAGCTGTTATAAGTTTCTGAAGATCTTGTTGTTTCTTCTCTCTTTCCTTCTTTCGCATTTCAATCTTACGTAACTCAGACATTAACGTTTCTTCTTCTTGCACCTGTAGCAACGTCATAAGTTAGCAATATTCAAACTAAAATCTTAATTATTACCTGTAGTATACCTAGTAGATAAATAATGCACAAGTTAACAAAAAAGATTCAAAAATATTACACATTTAGGGTCGATATCAGTATAAAGCCGTGAAATAAAAACCATATCAATGAAGAGATACGATTTCACTTCAGGGTGAACTGAAAATTGTAAATTTTGTCATTTTATCGACGATAAATGTGTAATAAACRAATTATTACATGAAATGTGTTTTTGTCACTCGGTAAAGATCTATATGTTAAGTGTATGCTACATCGAGTGTATAAGCAGATTAAAAAATCTGCCTCAGTTGGGTTCTCGTGGGACTCGAACCACTGACCTCTCGTTTGCTAGACGAGATCTCAACTGCTCGGCCACTGAGTCTTTACATGTTAATAACCTGATGTCCTTTTTATTCACTTGTTTTCCATTCCCTCGTTCACAATATCATAATAATGGAAACTCATAAATAAAAGCGATATCAAGCTGTTTAGATGTGATAATACATACCTGTTCCTGTGTTCTGTTGTACAGTTTCAACAGTTGTCTCTTTCTATCTGTTTCATGTTGAGCATCATATTGGGCTGGCATGTCTGGAGGCTCTTGACCTGTAGGTATTCGTGCCTGCAACAACAACACATCTTACTGCATATTCTACAAGCCATTCAAAAACAGTACAACCAAATAACCTACACAATACTCCTGGGGGGTTACTCTGCCAGAATTTGGGTAGGGGTGTTCCACTGGGATTCTGAAAGGGGTACCCTGTTTATGACAAAAAAACCCTCAAATTTGTAGACCCTGTTTATGACAAAAGATATAATTAATTGCACTGAGTTCCTGTTTCAATTATCATGTCATCTCGCGTATCGTTTTTTTACCACCATAATAACCAGTTTTGGTCAATACGAAAGTAGAAACCCTGAATATGACAGGAAACTCAAGAAGAACTTGGAACTTGAGCGAAATTGCATACCCTGTTTATGACAAGAAGCTCAAAAAACCATACCCTGTTCAGCAGATCTTCCCCGTATAGTCCATATATGGGAGTACCCCCYGGGACAATACTCTACAAGCACTGTAAACACTGAAGTACCCAATAACCTACACGACAGTATTAAACCAACCTTTAGTAGTCTTGTTACACTACTATAGTACTTGTCTTTCAATTCTTCTATCGTACGACTCTGTAAATTAAAACACATTTTGAAAATCTTTTCAATTAATAAATATTGTAGAAATAGGAGGCAGCATGGTCGAGTGGTCATAGCGTTGGTCTCGCAATCCGGTGGTGCCGGGTTTGAGTCCCGCTGTGGCCACTAGCTGAGACTGTATTTGTCCTGATCCCTGATTAGTTCAGATTCAGTTTCTCGACCATGCTTGTAAATAGCCAACTGGTTTGCCTCCTTGCCAGTTGGGATTCTTAACACACTTTATGTTTCTTTGATCATTCATTTCAGTTTATTAATCATAGGAGGGCCATAATGGAAACTACTGGGCCACCAGTAATGTATGTCACCCTCATTAAATAAAGTCAATTTATTTATTATTTATTTTTAAATAGTTTAATTTAGACATAAAAACAAAATCACCTGATAAGTCTTGGTGTCATATCTGTCATGGATGACAATGAACCTTAAATCAAAACATCTGAAATAATCAAAAGAAAGGTTCAGTGAGAAACTCCTAAGCTCAGCTTCCTGGGTGAATTAAAATATAACAGAGTATACAAAACCAGGCTAGATATTTACCTGCACAAGTCAAACAAATAATCTGTTTCTTGTTTAGTCCAAGTAGATTGAGATCCATCATGAAGATACATCTAAATGACAAACACATCAATCACATAATTCTGCACTAGTATCCTAATGAGTTTGAGTGTACAGGGCCCAGTCATTCAAAGCCCGATTAGTGCTAATCCTGGGATAACTCTTAATAAGACCTATAGAGTTAATCCTGGATTAGCGCTAACCCAGCTTTGAACAATCTGGCCCTGTTTATTAGGTTTAAAACCACAACAGCTTCAAAAACTTTTGAAAAATTAACAAACCTTGGTCAAATTAGAGTGGCATACAAGTCACGAAAATGAACTTTCAATTTCTACTTTAATAGAGGTATATACATCACTGTTATGCAGGGTCGGTGATGCAAAAAATGGCATGGAATAAAAACAACTTTGCTAAGTTCTCATTAAAATTTTCCAGGCAGAAAATTTGGAGTTCAATCGATGCGAATACAAAACGGCTCTCACGATTACTGTTTTCTAAAACTTAAAAACTTAAGAAATATAACTGTTTGGATTTATATGTCTAATACTGCATATCTCTTTAACTTCATATTTAATATTTTCATTTCTAAGTGAATGATGGGGAGCTGGCTTTCAAAACTTTTGTTACTTCAGCTCCCCAGCACCTCATAATTATTTTTCTCAATATTTTACTTTTTTTATTGGTTGAAACTTGTTAATTTATCATCTATTTTTTTATTGTAAAGTAATATATTAAGAATGCAAATAAAGATTATCATTATTATTATTATNTTATTATTATCATTATTATTATTATTATTATTACTATTATTATTATTATTATCATTATTATTATTATTATTATCATTATTATTATGGAAGACAGAGGCACTACTCAAAGAGATTCCACAGGTAGTCAGTGATGGTACTCGTGTGATCATTTATATGAGATGAACTTTATGAGGCCCTACATGTAAGTTTTCATATAAGACTGGATGCACCTTTATCTCTAATAAAGTGCAATACTAAAGTACTGTAGATATTACCTGATATTCTTCATCGGTATATGTAGGAACATCAACTTTCTGAAACATTATAAGACATGTATTACACATGCGTACAACTATGAACATTCAAAATAATAAAAAGACCCTTTTTGAGTTCCAAATTACTGCTGTGTTTCTTGATTACAGACTTATTTGCTCAGGCTAAGCCTTGAATAAGTGTCTAATTACTCGCAAATACCAACGGTAAAGTAAAGAATGCACAAGTTCAACAATACAAACACTTTGACGGACCTTGACTCGAAAACGTGAATATACTTCACAAAATTGAGGCTTAGCCTGAGTAAATGAGTCTGTAATCGAGAAACGCAGCGGTAATTTGGAACTCGAAAAGGGTCTATTAGTGTCATTATTGCATACTGATGAACACTTTATATGACAAGTACCTTATTAAACCTTGCAAAGGGATACTCTTTAGCTTCATCTGTAGTACGTCTCCAGTGACGTAGCATAGCCCCATCAGTTCTTGCAGGATTTGTGAACGGCACCCACCTCCAAGTTCTGACATGTTTTCTCCCAAGTTTGGCTTTCAACTGTTTGTATCCCTGTGTTGTGTCTGAGGTAGCTAGAGGTGGTGAATCTCTGAAATATATCCATATCTTATGCATTAGCGCTGTGATGCTGACTACATTATCAAGAGCACATATGTTACTATATATATACCTGCTATCATTATAAAGAAGAGCAAAGAGCTCCCTATGCATTCCCTCGGGTCTCTTAGCTGGAATATCTGAAATTCTCTTTGGTTTCTTGGGCTGAATATAACAAAAATAATTTATAAAAGCAAGATAAAATGGCAGTTTATGTCTCCATACTGTGATATAAATGCTCTGGAAAATGTAGAGCACTTAAAAAGCAAGAGAAACAGTTGACTACAYCTTGTGTTCCTTGCTTCTCTAGAGCAATATATAATATATATAATAATAATACAGTATATACAGAGAAGCCTATTGGATGGCTAAACTAGGCCCTCTACGCCCTCATGGGTTAAACAAAAGAGCAGAAATTCATTCTAGAAATAGGATTAATTATAGTCATAAGAAGATATAACTAGCTAAAAACTAGTGTGAGCTGCGTCTGTGTTTCTAGTGAAACAGTAATGATAAAAAGGTAAATTATACACCGTGAAAAAAATGAAAAACTGACTGACGTTTTGGATGCTAGTCCTTCGCTGGAGTCCCACGAAGCCCTAACGTCCAAAACGTCAGTAAGCTTTTTCATCTTTTCATTGACTCTTACGAAGGACTAGCGTCCAAAATGTAAGTTTTTTCATTTTTTCACGGTGTATACTTTACCTTYTTACCATTACTTATTAATTATAGCTTGCTATTCTTTGTACATTTATGCTTTTTAGCACATGCCTTGGATACCCCTTTTTGTTTTCCTTCGCTTATATACACCGTGCACCTCCTATTCTTCATCATTTTATCTTCGTATTTAGTTTAGTTTCTTATATTTTTACTGAAGAAGACCGAAGGGTTGAATCCTCTTATTAATAAATATTTTTTATCTATGGACGGCTAGAAGTTGTTGGTCTACCTTCGATTCCTGTTCAAGTTATATAGTAATATATAGATAATATTAATTATTAGATAATATATAGATAATATTATCAAACTTATATTATATATAAATATATATCATTAAATATTTATAATATTATGTATAAATATGCTGTAAAAAGAGGTTATCCCAAGGTTATCGTGCATTATAGCTTACTTTCATGCCAGAAACAATAGCCTCTTTGGTTGGAGGGTAAAGTCCTGGCTGCTCCAGCTCCAAAATGTCCCGAATGTCACTCATTCTTAAAACTTTTGTATTCTACTTATACAATATCTTATAAACCAGCTGGTTTGTAATCATTTAAGTCATGTAATTCCTGTTATAACGCAGTAAAAATGTCAATAGCCTGGAGCCGCCATCTTGTTTTGAAGGCCACCACGCGTGCAGAGGATGATGGGAAATATCTATACCGCTGACCAGGGTTATCACGGGTTCATCTTCTTCTCTTTTCCTTCTATTGTATTAATCTTGTGGATAACATGGTCAAGGTTGTTTTTATTCATCCAGATCTCGGCATAGGAGGAGCAGAGAGGTTCGTAGTTGATGCTGCTCTAGCTTTAAAGTCCCATGGTCATGATGTTCAGTTTATTACGTCACATCATGATCCAAGCCACTGTTTTCAAGAGACCAAAGATGGCAGCCTGAGAGTAACAGCAGTAGGGGACTGGTTACCTAGACACATCTGTGGACGTCTGTACGCGTTCTGGGCGTATGTAAGAATGATTTATGCGGCTGTTTACTTGGTTTGGTTTTCTGGTTTAAAACCAGACGTGGTTCTGTGTGATCAGGTGTCAGCATGCATTCCTGTTCTGAAGTGGAGCAAAGCCAAAGTACTGTTTTATTGTCACTTCCCTGACCTTCTGCTCACCCAAAGGAAGAGTTTCCTTAAAAAGATGTATCGAGCACCGCTTGATTGGCTAGAAGAGGTTACCACAGGTATGTACCAGATTATCTATCAGTATTGTGAATATGATGGGTTATACATATATGATAGTCTAGTATTGTGTATTATAGTCTAGCATTATACAGTCAATTCAAAAAATGTTGTCGTCGACC